GAGCAGTCCCAAGATAAGAACTGCTAGTTCAAGTTCAAATTTAGCAGCCCCAAGTAGTCTCTATGACAATCAGCAGATGATGAAGAAGAATTTGAGAACTTAGGGTTTATGGATGATCCACAGTCTCAATATATACAACAGCAAATACAAGACAGAATAAATAACCTTAATCGACAGATCAGTGACCTGAGGGCACAACAAACTCAAAAATCTACTGAAATTGCTTCCATACAAAACGCTACACTGAAACAGCGCATGCAGGAGACGCTAGATAATCTCTTTGCTCAGATCAAGGAGCGTGAGCAGGAGCTTAAGAACTTAGAAAACATGTTGGAGCAATAGACCTGATAACTCAAAAAATATATATAATATTTAGTATAAACTTTAATTAAAATAAATGTGTTCTGTGCCATGCACAACACCGAAATAAACTTACACTTAAGTTTTACTACTGACCAAACAACTATAGAACTATAAATAAAGAAATAAATGTAAATAAATGCACTTGTTATTTTTGGCGGTTTAAAATTTATTCTAAACGAAATAAAAAAAAATAAATAAACATTAATAATTTGCGATATTTATTCACATCGATTGCTCGCCGCCGATATATCGATAGTCGCTCGCGGTAGTTCAGCAACATTTTGTGTTTATTCTCGCGTCACATACGGCAACTCCGCAACAATTTTCTATTTGGCCAGAAGACATTGCAGAAAGTTTTTCAACCTCGAAAATAGAAATTCACAGCAATCACAATAATTCGCCAATTGTACATTAATGGAGTAATTAAATATTGATATTCTGCACAATTGGCTAGCGAGCAGCGCTGCAGGGAACGATTGCGAGCAATTTCTGCCACAGCAACCACAACAAGAGCAGCAGCAGCAGCCGCAGCAGCACGAACAACAACATTTGCAAAAATTTTCGGCCAGCTGCATTTGTCATCTACATTTGGCCATCGTCGAATTATTATGGACAAAAAATCATCGCCCGTGCGACGACAAAAGCGCCAAGCGAAAGTAATTGAGGAGAACTTCTGGGACTGCAGCGTCTGCACGTACAGGAACTCGGCGGAGGCGTTTAAGTGTCGCATGTGTGACGTGAGAAAAGGTGAGTGACCTCGATTCCAACAGCGGCGACAGCGCCAGCGCCAGCGACGTCAACGACAGCGGCAACTGCGACTGCCACTGAGGCAGCGACAGCAATGTCGAATGTTTGAATTACGTTGAAGGACGGCCCTAAATGGGTCGCTCTGAGTGAATTGTGAAATGCTCAGGCACAGTATAAACATAATTTGTTCTTTTCGATTGTACACACTTAACTGATATTCATATTTTCTTTGTTGTCTATTTCTCCCCTGGTATCTGGGTCTGGGCTGGCAGGCACATCGACGCGTAAGCCGCGATTAAATTCTGCGCTAGTCGCTCAGCAGGCGGCCACATTGCCAGGCGCTAGTGGGAACATGCCGAATGGGAAGCCGGCGTCCAGTTCGCGACATGGCAGCGGGCACGACAGGCAGCGACACAAACGTTATCCAGCCCGCTTGAAGAACGTTGATCGATCGACGGCGCAGACTCGTGAGGTGACCGTCAATTCGGTTACGGTTTTCATCACAGAATACAAGGCCAAGCCTGTGAGCAGTCGACGGGAGTCGAGTGAACAGAGCTTCAGTGAGAGCAACGATAGCCGGAGTTAGGTTCTAATTACATAAGCACGCAATTTGTGTTTTTATCCCAATTACGAAACTCTTCTTTAAATTCATGTATGCGAATCTGTATATGTATAAAGATAGTCTCTGTCGGTGTGGAGCCACAATTTCTCTTCCCCTTCACTCAAACACACACACAAACACACAGTCACACACACAAGTCCAATGTCTAAGTGTACAACAACAAAAATTGTAAATTCTAATATTAGGCCTAAGTACAATTGTAAATCTATATAGCCTGTTTCTCTAAGTTAGCAAGTATTAAGCGATATTCATGTTCTCTGTTAGAAACAGCAGCTGCAGCATCTAACAATGATGATGATGATATTTATCCATGCATAAGAACTTCCACATGTATTTGGCTTTTCATAGCTGATGACTGCATTTACAAACTGATGCTGTGGCACGGCTGCAACAATGTGAAATCGAGAACCTTGTATATATAGAAAAAGAAAACAAACAAACACACACACACATACAAACAAACAAACACAACTGTCTCGTATTGTAATATTTGATTCCTAATTTATTGATTTGTAAGCTCATCTTATACATACACCTAATTAGATACATATTTATATGTTCTACAAATCTATTGTTTATATGTAAGTGTCGAAAGAAAAACAAAAATATAATTTGATTAAGTGCAAGTGCGAAAATGTTCTCTATGTAAACAACTCAACTACCCAATGAATGGGGCAGACAAAACGACGTCGCTCCACATAACTCTATATACATACACGCATATTTATATATTTGTATAGTAATATGAATACCTGATTCTCAAATTCTGTGTACTATATGTAGGTTGCAGTCAGATCCAATTACCAAGTGCAGTGTGTCTTTATTAAATGGTTTGTGTTTCCATTCTACTTGTTATGTATTATTAATCTATACTAACAATAACAAATGACAAACCGACCTATATATATTTTTTAATTGTGCATGACAACGAAACAAGTGAATAATATTTAGTGAATTTGCTGATTTAAATCAATGATTGTTTTTTTGAATTTTGTTCTTTTTGTATACAAGACTGATTAAGCAAATACCTAAAGACCATATAACAAATATATATATATACATCTATACTATGATATATATGTATATAACGATAGCACCGGTTTACAGTTCAGTTGGCATACATAAACAATAGTTGCAATAATAACAACAATTTCTTTTTATACCAGCCAAAGTTTACAAGCTTGGCCACATAAATATATACACTTATATACATATATATAGATACGGAATATTAGCTGAAACAATGAAATTTTGATATACTTTTTAGCAATGGATAAATGGTTTAGATATGCATGTTTCAAATGATAACTTCGTTTTGTTTTGTGTATTTTTTATTAAGGTTTTACTACACACACTCCCGAACACACATGCTCGCAAACACTCTCACACACACACATACAGCAAGTTGTTCAAGTCTTTAAGTTGGCAAAAGCTTTGCAGCGAAAAGCTCATTCAAAACTGCCCGACTGAGTAACATAGTCAAAAAATAAAGAAATGAAACTTCCAAGAACAGCTTACGACAAAATTTGTATTAAGTATTTAAAGTTCATAGTTTATATACTTAGCAAAAGAATGAATAAAACAATATATATATATATGTACATTATATATAAATATATAATTAAATCAAGGCTAGCAAACAAATAAATCAAGCACACACACACGAGAATATGTTTAAACTTGTGTCAAGCGCAAAAAAAAAAAAACAAAGTTTTATATAAATTTCAAAAATTACACACTTTAAAAATTGTCTTTAAAGCGAAGAGAACGTCCCTATGCCAACTTCTCACACACACAAACACATACATAAACAATGTATATGCTGTGTGTGTGTGTGTGCGTTGGTCTCATCTGTAACTGTTCTTGTTCTTCTGCTTACGCGTGTGGCCTGCCTGCCTGACTGCTTGCTCTGCTGCTGCTTCTGCCTTCCTCTCTCGCTCTACCCGTCTCCCTCTCACTAACACTCTGGCTACGCCTTTGGCAGCTGCCTCAACTTTCGCGCGCTTCGCAAATAAATTACAAATTGTTTCGTTCCAGCGTGGCTGCCGCTGCTGCTGCTGCTGCTGCCTTGCATTGCTACTACTTACACAGTGCCACGCCCCAGCTCCCCCCTTTAGCCTCTAGTCCTCTGCTCACTTCTATTGCCCCCACACCGCCCCCCACCACCTCACCAATTCGTTTCAGTCGACGAGCTGACATTCGAAAATTCGCTTTTCGTTCGCTTTTCTCTAAAATGTTAAAATTCACAAGTCCTCCACACGCAGCAGGCACAACTGTGCCTGTCCGCCTGCCTGTCTCGCTGTCTGTCTGTCTGTTCGTCTGTCCGTCTTTCTGTCTCCCTCTCTGTCTGTCCTTCCGTCTGTCTATTGCTGCCTGCCCCAGGCCTCAGCTCCCTCTGCTCGGCTAGCGCACAACTTGCCTTATCAGCGTCGCTCTGTGCGCTTATCTTCTGCATGTACGTTGTACGTTCTCTACTTCCCTCCTCGCCTGCTCACTCCTCCCTGCTCATCTCTGCACTCCTCGCGCTTCGTTTCGTTCTTTGCCTGGCCTGCTCCTTTTGCCTTCTTATCCGTTTGTTTGTCCGTGCTTCCGACTCGTCTGTGCGACCGTTCGCACATCCTGCTCCATTCTAGCTGCCGTCACACCCCCTCGCCCGCTCGCCCACCCTCCCTGCCAGCCTTCCTTTGTTACACTTGCTCTACTGGCTGTGTGCGTGTGCGGGTGTCTGCCTGTGTGTGTGTGCGTGCGTATTTGTGTCGTAGTCAGCAACAAAAATGTGCAGCATTTGGAAAATGTTGCCGAAGTCTGTGCGTTTCTTTTTTCTCGCCCTTTCTTTTGACATGACGCATACGCCGCGTTGACCAGCAGCTAAAAACAACACCCAGCGCGATCATCAAGCTGGACAGTCTGCAAATTTATATATACACATCAATATATATTAATATATGTATGTATATTCTATATACACCTGCGTTTATAAAAATATCAATGCTGCGCTGCAATAAATGAACAAGATTTTTTCCTATGGAATTTTATAAGATAAACTTTTATTTAGCATAAAATCTTAGGAAAGGTATTACAGAAAATTTCTGATACTAGAATGCATTGAAAATCGGCTGTTCATAGAAATTATAGTTGATTATATAAGAATTTTAAATAGGTAAATAGAAACAGTATATTTCAAAAGAGAAAATATCAAGAAAGAGCGAGATTAGAATTACAATATTTTGTTCGTCTTACTAGGTCTTTCCTTTGCTCGAAAGAACACCATAAAAAAATAAAAATAAATAAATAAAAAATAAATATTGAAATTCCAATTGAATTCAAACAGATTTATAAAACGTACATACATACATATATTTATGCAAAAATATAGATAAGAAATATATGATATATGAAAAAAAAAACAAAATATTTATACATATATATTATTTTTAGATACTACATCATGAACTTATATGCTTTAAATTTTACTTGAAATCTTTTTTAATGACAAGAAGCTCAGTTTTTGGTGTTAGGTTTAGATATACATATATAAAATAACACAAAAAAAATAATATGTATATATATTATAATATATATATAATATATAAAAATAAATATATATTGTAATATATATATATAATATAATATAATATAATAT